AGTTTCTCCGCTGTACAAAACATCAGCTATCTTTTCAAAAGATTGCGGGGCTATAACCCACCACCAACCAGTTTGACCGCAGCAGAGGCCGTCACCACATTTGAACGGTGTACCGGCGCCGCAAGTGGCATTTGGTGAAAGARTTAGGGTCTCAAGAGGAACTGCGAAATTGGCTGCCTCGAAGGTCATTGAGCCAGACTTTCCCGTATCACTGCCGTCGTCCTGGTGCTCAAAAAGCTCAGTAGGGCACCCGATGGGTTGGTCGCAAACATATCCGCTCTKAGTGGTGAACCACTTGGCATAAAACGGAATACCGAAGACCAGCTTGGAAGCTGGAAAGCCGAGGGATATATATAGATCAATAGCATGGAAGGTGCCCAGAAGCGAGGTGTGGTGGGTAGTATAATGGTCTCGGCGGTTCATGAGATCGTATGTCATGACCTAATAGTGTCAGTAAATTTTCATTTCGTTTGTTTCTTATGATATGCATTCTGGTTGGACCTACGTTGACGAAATCGACAACGCAGTTAATCTCAGGAACTTGATTCGAAGTGTACGCAATCATATCACGGCTGAGGCCCGGGACCGCGATAGAAAGTTCTTTATCTCCGATGGCCTTTTTTACTTCTCCGAGAAGACCCGGGAAAGATTGGATCTCGTATTCCTTCTTCTCATTTGGAATAGACTTGTAGTCATCGCCGTTACCGCCAGGGTATTCCCAATCAATATCTATATGTGTCAGTCTGAACACAGGTTGACCTTATTTGACATACCAACACAATCAAAGCCCAGCATGTCAACGGTGGAAGTAATGTTCTTGGCAAAGTTCTTGCGGGCCTTATCGGACTTGGCAGCTTCGCTGAAGCCAGTAGTATCGCCCCAGCCACCAATGGCCATACAAACTTGAACGTTACTGTCAAAGAGAGCTCGAACATCTTCGACCGGTTGAAAAGGCCTGTACTTGTTGAATATGGGTAGGCGTATCACGTGCACGCAGGGATGCTTCAGATTACGCGCCAAAATGGCGACGCGCTCAGGGAACAGATTTTCGACACAACATAACATGAATATACCAATTTTACATCAATGAACCGAATACACGTAATGTCTGACAACATCCAACGTCGAATGCGAATCTGATCATGTCAGGTGGCCCCGTTTCAACAGATTTCTCTAGGGTGGCGCTTCTCTCTGTAACCTGATATAATCTCTTTAGGTGGCCTTTTATCACATTTCCTGCAGTCCTTCGTCAGTGTTGTGAGAGGTCTGGGCTAGAATATACCTCAAGGCTCATCAGGCTGCTCTTCTGACCGATGACTGGAAGTCAAGATGACTGGCCTGGAGGAAGCTTTCGTTCTTCCTCGCCGGGAATACCAGATTGCGATTTCGATTGGGCTTGGTAACCAGATCGAGAGATCTGGCTTGAAGATGGGGGAGTGGGTTGGGGAAGGAGAGGACGCTCGGATTCTCGTTGGCCCAGCTCTGGAGCCAATCCCATGAGCTTCATAAAGCTCAGATTGGGCCGAGCATTGTTCCTGACCAAGTTTAGTAGGGGAGAGTATCAAGCCTACTACCTGGAAGCATAGCTGAGTTTATCTTGGGCTTGAGCAGTAGTTGGATACTCCAGTCCGTGTCTTTTCTAAGTCCGTGCTATGGCGGGTGCTTTGCTCCTGGAGATCCCAGAAACTTGCAAAATGATCGTATGTAACACGGCGTAGAAATCAAAACCCGACAAGGAAATAAGGTGCTTTAGAATGACATACTGGGCTACTGAAAGGGAATGTGGCCATGATCGCTCTGTCTTGAGCTTGGCTTGTATTTGGGATGCTCTTCCTGTGTACCTACCCTATCTTACGGCATCTGGTTCGAAGTGGGTAGTGCAACTGGACCGCCTCCGCTCCTGAGCAGTACAAGAGACTCGATCTCAAGGCGACTACAGGCTGTCCACCGGAGCTGTCGCTCCCACGGGCAGCCTTGCACCATCTGCTGGCAGCGAGGTCCCTTCACGGGGACTTCGCCGCGTACCACGAGAGATTCGACCACGACGATACACGCCTGGTCTGCTCATGCGGCCGACGCAAAGCACCGAATCACATTTTCTACTGTAGAAAGGTTCCGCCGCGTCATCGGATAAGGCTCGCACCCTCACCGAATGCAGCGGTCAACCTCGCAATAGGAAGAGATTTCACCAAGTTTGTCAACTTATCCAAGAACAGCGCGTTCTTTGGAAAAGTTTGCCCTCGCTACTAGGCGATCCCAACCCGAGATGCACTCGCATCTCCCCTCTTCTCTCCTTCTATATGCATTTCTTCTGTTACCTTTTCTCCTTTCTTGCTCATTCACGGCCAGACGAAGGGTGTCACCGCGCCCTCCATTTGGCCGTGAACATCTTGCGACAGCCTCGAGCTGCCGCGTGTACAGGCTGATCCCAGCCCGCCTGACACTGGGCTCTATAAGCGGCCTCAGCTTTTCGGCCGCGCCTGATCATCCCGCTGACGGGTAACAGGCTCGATAGAATGCGCCATTTGTGCCGATGATATGCTGGATAGAGTGCGTCCTACTGACGCATCTACAGAAATTGGATGCCGAGACGAAGTATTTGTAGCCAATAGCATTTCTGTAATTAGTGTGTAGATAGGTTCCGACTTCTCTAGCTCAGCACGTCCTGTGCCCCAGTAGGGGACTTTCGGGGCCTACGGCCCCCCGGACGAAAAATATACATAACATAACATAACATAACATGTGGGTAGTGCACCGCCACCCAATTAAACTGCGACACTGGGGCTGGGAGTACTGGTCCGATTCCAGCCACAACGCGTAATGGGACAGGGGAATTGTTGAATAGGTGCTAGGGTATCACGTGCACGCAGGGATGCTTCAGATTACGCGCCAAAATGGCGACGCGCTCAGGAAACAGATTCTTGACAGAACATAACATGAATACACAAATTTTACATCAATGAACCGAATACACGTAATGTCTGACAGGAATCAGCATCTCGATGTGGAGAAATGAGGCCGTCAACCGGGAGGTTTTTCCATGTACGAGACAAGCATGAGAACAAAACAGGATGTTAGTGCTAGCATATTAAACGAATGTTGCCATATCTACTAGCTAGACTAGATTGCATTTACACACTATTGATTCGCCTAGGCCAGGGCATCCAATTGTTGAAAGCAGCCTCTCAAATCAAGCTGCTGCATATATCACTGCTAAGATTGAATACATGAAACGGGATCTATTGGCTGACACTTGACTCGCAAGATGGTGGTGAGTGGCCATCACATCAACCCAAGCACCTGTTTCGCGGCTTTGAGGACCATAATACCGAGCCTGGAAGGTCGTCGGTCGGAAAAGCGCCCTCTCATCTCGTGACTGGCCTTCGAGTCCCCAGCCGTGGCTAAATGAAGCAACGTAGAGATGATTGGAGTCCGCAACATTAACTGGGTATTGTGATGATTTTGGCAGACACCTGGTGATGGTCAGCAAGTTGAGACATTTCAGCCAGAACTTGTCCGCCTCAGCTATCAAAACCCCATCGAAAATGATGTCAAGCCATATTGGATAAAATGAGAGTATCAGAGTACAATATCCACCTAATAAATTGCTTGGGGATCAATAGAAGGCAATGTGCACTACTAAATCGCACTCACGCCAGAATACCATGAACCATAGGGGAGACAGGTTGCCTAGCGGGCTGTCAGTGAGAGGGGGATGACGAACGTAGGTTCTAAGCGTGATGGATGCTTGCATAAGCGCATTATTTATTAAGCCGCAAGTCAACCCCACTTTGCACGTGCAGCGCTTGTGAAATAAAATATCCCCTCCAATT